AAATCCTAGGAGAACCTAGGAAGTATTTTAGTGTGGTTGTTACGCTGTTGAGTAGGTATCGGGAGGATTTTTTTAGTAGGTCTTAGAGGACTTGAGATGATTCTTGATGTCACTCCCCCGGCCGAGGCGGCGGAACATGTCGGGCTGGGCGACTAAGTTCATGTATCACAGATAAACTGAATATATAGCACAAGTACAACAGTAAACAAAACAACATTTAAATTCCATCTTGATGTTTGAATACATGGTTCTTACATATAATAGTATAATATATGAATTACCTTAAACACGTAGGCGGACATAATAAACAGTACTAAACTAAATTGCCTGAGATTCCTCATTATCCGTCGTCTGAATTTGCTTGATTATTGATTTCCTGATAATACATGTAGTGTGGATATGCTAAGTGGTTAGAATCAGCTAATGAATATCATCTCACTAAAAGCACTTAACTAAAAATTTTGTGAATAACTCTCAGCCCTAACTTACTTATGGGTAAGTTCTAGACATAATGAATTTCATGACATTAAGTATATAAAAGTCGAGTATGTTTGACATATGTGTAAAGTATAAGGCTCTAACTTTTATAACAAAGTATGTTTCTTTTATAAACTCTATAGTAAAAGGCATATGTTATTTCATTAGTTGTATAAACATAACATACTATGATATCAAAGTTTAAAACGATATTGTTTACTTATAATATATAAGTATTAAAACAAGGTTTTGTAACTACTATGTACAAATGAGGCCAGACATGAAACACTAGAGGGCAGAATCATTTTAGCAATTAAGCCGTTCTGCAATCCAACAACCCAAGCGGCCCTTCAAACAAGATTACTCGTATCGTAAGCAGTTAAAAGGTAATGTAATAATATATTTGTATAGTTTATAATACTTAGTACATGTATTCTCCCCCAAAATAAGTAAATACAAAAGAGGGGACGTAACACGCACCTTATCGAGTGGTCAACGAGTAGTTCTGAAACCCAGGAAGTATTGTCGAGAGCTCATGATCTCCGGGATTAATCCGATTTCCTAGAAATTTCAATATATATATATATATATATATATATATATATAGATATATATATATATATATATATATATATATTTGGACGTTATTAGGGCATTTTGACTAAGTATAATGATTTATTAATTTTCCAAATTTTTATTATTCCAAAATTTAATTACATAACCAATTTAAATAAATTATATTATAAATATTAAAAATTTTAATTTATTATTTTCCAAAATATTTAAATAATCCAAAATTTTATTTAAATTGAAATTAAATTAATAGCTTCTAAAAATTTATTTATTCTAAAATTTATTTAGTAAAATTTATCAATAAATTTTATAAATTTTCTTTTAAAGTTTATCGATCCATTCGAGGGTTTTTCCACACTAGATTTTGCCATTTTTAATTGAAGTTTTAATGGCTTTGGACTACATTTGTAAAACTTTTAAAAACTAGATATATTGTGTTTAATTGGAATGGGAGTTTGAACAATGTCTTTCACATTTACGTACACAGGAGGGTATACCTCTCTGTTCTTCGTCCCCGATCGTAAGAAAGAAAAAAATACGTAAAGAGTTTTGTGATTATCACTAATGCGTGAAAGGGTAGTAACCGAGCAAAGAGGTAGAGTGTGGAAGGCTTACAATGGTGGAGGCGGTGAAATGGAGGTGGTGGCCGGAGCTGCAATAGAGAAGTGACGGAGGTGGCAGGAGGGCACTCCAGTGGTCTTCTGCCGCCTGTTTCTTGCTGGTAATGGCGAGTTTCGATGCAAGGGAGGTGGAGAGACCCTTGGGGATCGAATTCAGCAGCAAACAAGGAGTGGGTGTGGGTTTTTCCCGGTGGTGGCAATAGGTGATGGTATGGTGGCAGTGGGTGGTTCCGGCAGTGGTTTCCTCCGGTTCCTCCTCCTGTTTTGAGTGGAATTCAATGAAGGAGAATGGCAGAGAGGGTGGTGATGATTAAGGGGGTTATAAGGGTGATGAAATGGTGGGTTTAGGGTGGTGCTTTGGTGGTTTGTGGTGGATTTTTATTGTGGTGCTCAAGAAAGCAATTAGAGAATAGAAAGAGGAAGGAAAGATCAAGATTTAGATAGGATGAAGGGAAGTGAAGCTGATGAGTGGGAATTAAAGCATTCTTAAGCTTCAATTTATAGCAAAAACCAACGCACACAACCCACATGAGGCTATACCTCCAACCATGCATTATACCCTAAGTTGAGGTACGCAAGCAATGTAGAGAATATGGTCACATGGGATAAGTGAGAAGGGAAAGAAATCTGGTCATTTTTGACTTCTTGGGTCATATGTAGGCCCTATATAGGGTTACCCCCATTAAATGTCTAAAACACACTAAACCGGGTGCATCGGGATCCATGCATCAAGAATTTTTATAAAAAGTACTGTTAGATAGAGTTAATTCAAGTATTCCAGAACATCAAACGGATTAATTTTTGGAGTTACAGAACTCTGGGAAATTGCGTTTGAAGTTTCGAGTCTAAACGGCTCGCGGTGTCCGTTTTCGCGAATTTTGTAAATATTTTAAGTAAAAATATTTTGAGTACGGAATTAAATAATAGATTATAGTCTAATTCCAAAAACATTCTCGAAAATCCCGTCGACAAAGCGTAAGTACCTCAACGGATCGATTCGGTGTTACGCGATTAAAGAGAAACAGTGTTTTACTGTCTGTTTTCTTAAAACTGTCGTATCTTTTGCATACGAACTCCGTTTTGGACGTGGTTTATATTTTCGGAAATAGGGGAACATGTACTATAATATTTTAATGTTTTCTTTTCTCAAAATTGCTTAATGGAAAATTTCAATTTTTCTGACGCATTAGTCAGCGCTGTAGTTGAGCGGTTTGATTTGACTGTCAGTTTACACGTTTGAAAGTAAAGTATCATCTGATATCATATAGTAATTGAATTGAAATCATTTATATTTCATTAGATTCACTAAAACTGAACGAGTTAAATTACAAACAAATTTACCGTAATTTAGTCATCTGAAATCTATGCCCTATATTTCGGGATGTCACACTTGAGGAAAGTATGGATAGGTGTGGAAGGTAGTATTGGACCCATACTACTGGAAGCACATGATTCATACTCGAATCGAGGAGAGTTTTGAGAATTCTAAGGGCTGGTCAGGAGAGATAGCATGGTTTGATACCATGATTCATGGCAGTAGTTTTGTATCTGTCGATATTGTGGTAGGGTTGCTTGAGGTCGTGCATTCGAGTCGCGGGACTCAAGAAGGAAACGGTTGTTATGATTGGCTAGAGGACTGCAGCTGGAAATGAGTGGTTAATTAGTGGTTTGGAATGCCGCCATCTGTGGCAGGGGTGATGCCCTTTCCGTTCTCCGAGTTCGGAGAGGAGTGAGTAGCCTTGCGACTTTTAGAGTTAGTATGTAAACCCAACATGGGGTCTGTTGGTCGCTGTTTTTGGCGACAGTGTGGCAGCGCAAGAGTGCGCGAGTGGATTGATGTGTTATGGATGCTTTGTGATGTGATCAAGGGTCCATCTTCTTGGGATATAGGAAGGTCATGTACCAGATTGATGGTTGGGATTGTAGGCTAGGAGGGCATGTTTTGGATCGTAAGTCGGTGTTGGCTTATGCTCTTGCAAGGAATCCTTAATGTTAAAAAGGCCATGATTGGGGAAATTTCAGAGATCTTCAACTAAAATTCAAGAGTTCTCTTGGGATTTGTTTGATCGTTATTTGGAAGATCATCATGCATGTGTTATTCATTCCTTGTTCAGGGATGGTTGTACCTGGTTAAGCCGATTTGAGTTATGGTATGGTTTCAACACCAGTAGGTGGTAGTTCGAACCCTAAGTGGGGGAGAACTAGGTATTCTGCTTAGAGGATTAGCGATCTATTCAGGTTCGTAGTATTGAGAGAATGGTTCCTAGGGCTCTGCGGTGCGAGTATGTGGGATCTCGGTTCAGGATTTGGTGAAGGTGTGGGTATATAGTAGGTGGTGATCGGATGTATGTGTTCAGGAGACACATGAGTTGTCCCTCATCAGGAAGTGGTTGGTCAAGGAGCTCGTTGCAGCTATTAGTTTCTCGTGGGGGTGCCAAAGAATAGATGAGGAGCCGTTGGGACCACTCAGGTTGAGTATTGGCTGTGGAGGGAATTTGTCAGCTCATTGCATCGATTTCTAATTATAGTCTAGCTTGTTCATAGGTCGATCATGGAATTAGTTTAAAAATTGGGTGCGATCAGCTCCGCACGGGGTTTAGATCATTTAATTTAATGTCAATGCGTACTCGATTTTTGGTTGCATCGTTCATCATTCATCGAAGGTTCTCCGATGGTTTCATGTTATGACAGTTGAAGTTCAATGGATGTGTCAACCTATCATTAAGTTCAGTGTGTTTTATGTTCCTTTGGTCTCTGGGTATGTTTACCCTCAATGATGGTGGTGTGGAATTTTGGTTCATAGCCAACTCAGGTTTTGGTAGCATTCAGTATCACCTTGGAAGTCTTCATGAGCCGGTTGCGTATTGGTGGAATATGTTCAGTCTCAACCAAGATATAGGGTCTTGTTCTGATCATTCATGGGGATATCTTCTGTTAGAGGCATGCATGTGGTTGGTAATGTGAAGTATATGAAGAATTAATACATACACGAGACATATGTATCATAAATTATTAGTTTGCTATATGTGGATATGTATAATGTATAGGAATCAATTTTTCATATAAGAGATGTCTAGGTTATTATGCATACACAATATTTATACACTCCCATATTAAAAATTTACTATATATGTTTGTAAGATATATATATAAAGAATTGGAGATTTTTATATAATAAGTGTCCAAATTGTCATATATGCTAGTAATTGGTATTTGGAAATGATATATAACACACACACACACACACACACATATATATATATATATATATATATATATATATATATATATATATATATATATAGTGTTATATAATTTTAACTAGATGAGTGTCCCCCGCGTTGCGGGGATTGGAACGTGTCGCTTTTTATGTGAAAATATTGTACTTTGCCTCAATTGGTAGCTGCAGTAAAGTATGTTTCTATTCTCCCTACATTTCACCTATCTACAAACGGATAATAGCCGTTTCTCCCTATCCATTATTCATCACCTTAACCTGCACAATTGAACAACTTAAAAAAGTTTAAGAAGGTAGATAACATTTTAAAAAAAAATGCAAATACAAATTGATAAGCCATTTCATCTAAGTAATGAACTCTAATACAAAGTCTGAAGACTTTTAGTAAAGATGGCCCAAATGAGTGAAAGAATGTGAACCATCATATGGTCTTAGACAACAAAGTATTTTCATCTATTTGCGTATGAGTTATTTTTGTAGAATAAATGAAAATACCATGCTATGTTTGTCATAACAATGAAGGTGACATCCTTTTTTGACATAAAAACAAAAGTCGCATGCTATTTGTCAAAAAAAAATGAAAGTTGCATGTTATATTTTCCATAAACATGGCAATAACATACTATTTCTGTGTGATAACAATGAAAGTAGCACATTCTTAAAAATCGGATCAAGTTTCAAAAGTTGATTTGATTCAATTCAATTCTACAAACAGTTCAGTCACGTCCTCTTATTTTGTTTAGGACATGGGTCCCCGAATAATGACTATATTACGAATTGAAATCAAAATAATCATGTTTTAATGTCTTAGATAATATAATTTTGATTGTGATGATCTGACCACTTAAAAGTTGACTAATTACTTTTCATTAGTTGGCATGAAACAAACAAAAACTTTTTCATGCATATTTCTTAATGTTTATTAATACTATTATACTATTATAATAAAATATGCTTATAATTATATATGATAATTGATCAAAACTATTAAGAGTAAATTATCACCAAGATATAGTAAAAAGTTAGAACACCATTCCTGTAACAAATTTTCTTACAGGTAGTTATATTATTTTAAAACTTTAATTTTTCAAATGTTCAAGTAAAACCATTAATTAATTAAAGAAAGAATTAATGTAATAATAATATAAAAATATAACCATACTTTCCTTCCCTGTTTAAAAAGTGAGAAACAACAAAATAAAATTAGCATATATATTATGGCTGCCATTTTATGCCACCAAAAGGTGTATATCTAAAAAAAAAAAAAAAAAAAAAGATCACATATGAAGTTACGAACCTGGGAAACCAATGGAGGTAGAAGTAACCAATTAAATCAAGTGAATCCTATCCATTCCTTTTCTGTCATCTCCTTTCATCCCTGACCTGTGAATTAGATATAACCGTCAATATTTTTTATAATACATGAATTTATATAATATACTTGGAATGTTTTCATATATTTAAAAGCTTAACCTGTTATTCATATCCGCGAAACAAAATTACCTGAAAGAATACTGCAAAAAGTTTCTTATGGCATCAGATTAGATACTTTAGTAGGTTGACTTTCTTTACTAATCTGCCCTTACATGTAGCTAATTAGCTATACCTGAAACCAAACTTGCATGAATGAAAATATTTCAGAATTTTGCTTTCAAGTTTCTTCTTTCTTGAGAAAACTCCACTCAATTGTTATACATGTAATTACATATTAACATCACCTAATTGCATATCTTAAGAAATTGTACAAGTCAAGACGCTTAAAAAGAGTCAAAGGTCATAAAAATCATCTAATCTCCAACCTGTTTCAAAAACTAATACCATTTCTCATAATGTTTTTCCGATTTCTCTAACATATTGTCTATTAAGTCTAAATTTGGAAATCCAAATTCAATATAATTTATGACTTCTCAAAAATTGGTCAAGTGCCAATTATGAAAATTTGTGGAATAAGATATATATGAGATGATATGCCAACAAATTGAGTCTACTAAAACCAATAAATGAAAACTAAAAAAAATGAAGACTTACCTTGTTTGGATATCATCAATTTGCCTCTTAATCTTCTCATGACAAAAGAATGCCTGCATAAACACATGTCACCACAACAAAATTGTGTGCCCATATACATGATTCGTTGTTCTAATCTAGAGTGTGAATTCGTTCAACCTGTAATTTTCTGTTTTCTACCTCTTAATTAATAATTAAAAGGATTTAAATAATTATCTGACAGAGTTTACCTCTCTTTGTTTATTAGGACATTTGTAAGTGATCCATTTGCCATAGATTCAGTCACAGTAAGTAAAGTTTCACCAGCTCACCAAAGGACAGTTACAACCTTGTTTCAAAGAGCATTCTGAAAATCAACATGGAGCTGATTCCGAGAGGATAGTGTTATTTCCTGTAAATTACATCATCTCAGAAAGCATTTCTTTTAGGTCAAAAGAGAAAATGTAAAAACAAAAAATGTGCCTGAAGGACCCTGAGCATCTTACTTTCATTTATGCCATTCACATGAACAATACCATGAGAAAGGTTTACATAAAGATTTCTATCGACCATGGAGAAATTTTAGAACCTAAAACACAAAAATAACAAAAAAAAAATTGATTCAAATCAAGAAACATAGTATCGGTTTGGTATCAAAACCAAATGAAATCAAAGCTGACCAAAGTTGTAGCGTTGGGGACCGCGAGGGCGACGAAGTAGGTCGGGTCATCGAGGTATAAATAAATGTTCCATAAACACCACTGTATGCTGAAATTTGACATAATCGCTGTCTAAAATTGCCTCTGCAGAAAATTAGAAAGCTAGTCAAACCACATACATGTAAACAATTTTAATCGACTGATAACGATCGTGGAAATCCCAAAATCGGAAGAAACCTAAATCAGAATTTGAAGAGTGACGTACCTGATCGAAGTCGAGAAAGGGATAGGTGGAAGTCGAGAAAGGGATCGGCGGCGAGTCTCAAGCAACTCCGGCTCCAAACAGGCGGTATTGGAGCCGGCAGCTAAACCGGTGATGGCGTGGGTCCAAACCATCTACTATTCATCGAGGGTGGGTGGGTGGTTGCTTCTGATCGAAGTCGAGAAAGGGATAGGTAGAACGGTGGTGATCGGATGTCTGGAATGGTGAAAGAAACAGCATGTAGGTAATAGGATGACCGGTGGAGAGCGTATCAACATCCGATGGAGGCAGTGAGGAAAAAAAAACAAATACATGAGATAAGGCGGTGGAGAACAATCGGTGGGAAGGATCTGGAAGCGCAACAATGGTAGAGAGAAGAGTAACCGGATGAACAGTACCCTGGTCAGGTACTGTTCCTAACTTTCATTTCTTTAATATACATCTATTAACTATTAATTACATCACACATATATACATTGTGATTACATGATTGACTATTAGTCTTTAGAATTCATGAATAGATTATGTATAGATACATGTGTAAATATTTTCTAACTTTCTCAATTTGTCTCCCATCGATCTCGATATCAAGTAATTTTTCTAAAAAATGAAGAATGATAGTATCGGTTACAAGGATTCCAAAAACTCAGGCGAATTAATTTTCCGAGTTGTAGAACTCCGAAAAATCGCGTTTAATTGGACCCAAACGTCCTTTTTTCGACTTTTGCAAATATTTTTGCTGAAAATATTTCGTTTATGAAATTAAATACTGGATCATAGTGTGAGTCAAAAAAACACTCTTGGAATTTCCATCTGAGGTGTGCAAATCCCTCAACGGATAGAAACCGTTTAAGCAATTTTAAGAAAATCAGTATTATACTGGTTTGAATTCTTAAAATGGGCGTATTTTTTGCATACGAACTCCATTTTGGACGTTCTTTATCTTTTCGGAAATAGGGGAACATGTACGGCGAGATTAGAGTGTTTTTTCACTCACAACTACTTAATAAAAAATTTCAGTTTTTCAGACGCATTAACTAGAGTTGCATTTTGAACTGTCTGATTTGTTTATTAGTTTACACATTTGGAGGTAAGATTCGATCTGGTATCTTGTAATAGTTGAAATGAACTCATTTATTTAACAAAAGATTCACAAAAACTCAATAGGTTAAATTACAAAGATATTTACTATGAATTGACCGTCCAGAGTTTTTGACTTAAATTCTGAGATGTCACAACATCATAGAAGGACAAATCAGCAAACACCTTGTCCACTACCTTGCATATACCGTCAAACAATATCCACCTCATATCCTCCTCCAATATTCGAACTTGCTCAGTCTAGTCGACCAAACTTGCGTGAATGTTCATATTCCTCAACGCACACCCTCTAAGATCACTCTTCAATTTTTTTACACCCTGCTCCAACATTGCAATCTTATCCACATTCCCAATCTTATCCAACTTCAATAAGGCTACCTTACCCTTCAATAGAGAAACTTCCTTTTTTAAATGCTAGTTATTGGCCAACTTACCCTCTAAGATAAAATTTTCTTCTTGCAATAATCTCACCTTACCTCTCACATTCTCTAGCTCCGACTCAGGGACCATAAGAGCGTTAGAACCAACCATTTCCAATTCAACGACATTTTTTCACATCTCCACATACTAATCGCACAATAGTTGAACGTTTCAGGACAAACTTGTAGAAGGAGTAATAAAAGGCTTCACAAGCTCTGATATTTTTTTAAACTCACAACGTAATTCATGATTCTCTTGATATAAATCCTCAGTTTTGTCACACCATGTCATTATTTCATTACCTTAAGTTGGGTTCTCCACAAGTTTCACCATGAACATGTCTCAGATAGGTTCTCTACAAGTTTCCCACCAATATTCCCATTTGGGAACATAGATAGGTCCAGAGTGATGAGGAGCACTCGTATCTCGTGGAGGGCTTACAACATTCAGTTGCTCAAAGTACACGGTAGGCATGTTAACACCAAGAGTACTAGTAAATGACCGAAAAGATGTCGGATATAGAGAACGGGATTGCTTTATTGGCCTACCACTACTACTTCTCTCTCCACTAGATAATGCCGCTGGAAAATCAGCTGAAGCAACCACCCATTTATCTCTCTTTCAGGGAACCAAACCAGTACCTACACCTTTACCCTCATCATCATCATCATCAATAACAATTCTTGAAACCATGCCAACTGGAGTTCGATCATGACCACAAACATCAGAAGCATATGAGTCATGAACATGAATAGAAGATTCATCCTCGTCCTCTTTGCTATTCCATTAATTGTTATCTTATTATTCGTCATTGCTCATACTGTCATCCAACAAAGAAAACTCAAAATCATCATAACATATGTCCCTAGAAGCAACTGGACATTCAACGAAGTAATACAAGAGAAAGGGAAGATGACTACCATTTGACAATAAAAATAAAAACATGATAATTAGAAGGATGACATCATGAAGAAAACAACCAAAGGATACCAATATGAAAGTGAAAAGATGATATGTGTATTTTTATATATATTTTTATGCATTATATCTTAATATTTTGGCCTTTATTATTCTCTTTTAGAACTAAAAGGTACTTATATTGCTTTGAATTATGATTTGCAGCAATTAGTTGTTGTTAGAGCGGAAAAGAAAAGACTGAAGTGGAAATCGGGCTTAGAAGCTAAAAGAAAGGAAAAATGCTGGAGGAGCCATTTACGCCCCGCGTAATGAACTTGTACGCCAAGAGTAATGGCTAAATTAGAGTTACGCCCAGCGTAGTTTATGGTTACGCCCAGCGTACTGGGTGTTTATCCAGACTTCCCAATCGCGATACAACTCTTGCTACGCCCAGCGTAAACCAAGTTACGCCCAGCGTACGTAAGTCGGTTCCAAGGGTTATAAAAGTCGATTATTAGCTAACCAGAAGGGGGATTCGACTTCCAACTTAATTTAGTCGATAATTAACTTCTGTTAAGCCGTTTTGAGGGTCTAGAAGGCGGCCGGAAGGCCGTTAAGCTAACGGGAGCGGAGATCGGAAGGATTGGAAAGCGGATACATGTTGGTAATCATATGGGTTGTTAACGTGACCATGTTTAGCATTCCATTGTGTTACTATTATGTGTTTAGTTTCTGATTTAAGTGTAAAAACCTTTTACTTTGCGTTTATGATTGAATGAAGCTTTAAATATTAGACTAATTGCTATATTGAATTGTTTATTTATGTTTAATTTATCTTGCCAAGCTTGTTAAAAGATCCTTACGTGTTAATGATAATTATTTGCTGTTAATTATTAAGTAAATTGAGTTGTATGAACATCTGCTTGATTGCTTGTTTCTTATGATTTTGATGACCATCGAGATTATAAGTCTAGGAATAACGAATGTGAAACTAGGATTAACTTGATAATAAGTAAGTTAATGTGTAAGCCTTGTTTGATGACCATCAACAAGAGGTTAATTGAACGACCAATTTGATTAACTATATTTACAAGTCTTGCTTGATACGAACTGAACACTAGGAAGCATGTTAGTTTAACCAACTGATCACTGTTTGAATTGACTTGTTTGCTAAAGGATTAGTTATAGTGAACGCGAATCTAATCATTTTAGGAATCGGTGAACATGAATAAATGAATTTGTGTATGAAAGTGTCTATGTTTTTAAGGTGTAATTTATCTAAACCAAAGTACCTGAAGAGATTTGCTTTCCTGTTAGTTTATCGAGAGTTGTTAATTAATTATTCGTTTGAGAATTATTAAATTACTTCTTCATTCTTTTCGTGTGACCTGTAACCTATAATCAAATATTTTAAATTAATTCACCACCGTTCCCTGTGATCGACACCCAACTTACCTAAGCTATATTGTAATCTGACTAGGTACACTGCCTATAAGTGCATAGTTAGTCTAAGTTTGTTAGGTTATAAATATTAAAATTAGTGGGTACTTTTGTGCACATCAAGTTTTTGGCGCCGTTGCCGGGGAACGGCGTTTAATTAATTTAGTTTATTTGATTATTCGTTTTTTTTTTTTATTTTTAGTTAGTTTTATTTTCGTTGATATCATTTCACTTGTCGGGAAGGTTTTTGTTGTTATTTGTAGGAATTTGTGATCATACACATTGATTGGCTTTATCTTTTGCATGGGTTTCGAGATTGCAAGCGATTAGGGAATTCTTGACCTGCTTAGCCTACTAGTTTGTTGATTTGTCCAACTCAATCCATGGGACGCAGTATAGCAAGGCGTATTGTGGTGGTTAAGTAGAAGACCGAGCTCTTGCTGTTCTTGACTAGTTAGGTAACCTCTTGTTCTACTTTTAGTTAAAGGTGCGAAGAAAACAATGGAAATATTCTAACGGGTCCCGAAAGTTGTTGTCTTCACAAACCATCTCTTGCGTGCAAGGGTTTTAATCAACCATTGTTGTTTGATCTCGACAAAGAAATGATCATGATGTCTCATTTTTTTTGTGTCACTCATCGGAAAGTCATGGCTGTTGTTGAAGCAATTAAAAAATAATATTGAGAAGTTCCCAAATATATTAGATGGAAAAAGGGATTTCAAATAAGGAAAAAGAAAAAAAGAAAAGAAAATAAATACAGTAAAAGTACGCCCAGCGTAACCATAATTACGCCTAGCGTACTAAGCGGATGGTCGCGACCAGACTAGCCAGGGAATTGGAGGTACGCCCCGCGTACAATGGAATTTACGCCCAGCGTAAGTCGGCGTCAGGTAATCTTTTAAACCCTTTGACTTTTTGTTCTTCCACCATTTTGTTACTCCAACCCTACGCTACGCTGTGACGGACGAATTTCCCCCGAAAATTCCGTTTTTCCTTCTTTTCTTGTAGAATCGACACCGAGGTATGTTCTTTGGTTACCCTTTGGCTTAATTTTATGTTTAATTTCTAGAAATTGGTTACATTGAACTATTTAGAAATCTAGGGTTTCTGCATATCTTGAAATAGGACCGATTTCAGTTGAATGTATGTGTGTTTACGGCTCAAATAGACCGACTTCACTTGATTGGGACTTAATTTGTCCTTAAACTCGTGTATTAACCTTCGATTTGGGCATTTGAACGAACGCATAGAGTTCGAGTGTACGACCCCCATGTGTTCGACCCTACATGTGTTCGTAATCTGAAGGCATTGTATGGGTTATGAATTTAGACCAAACAGGGGACTGAAATGCGTTCCTGGACGTACGCCCAGCGTATGCTGGACCTACGCCCAGCGTAAGGCCAGACCAGCACCCTCATTTTTCATTTAAATCTGTTAATGCTACTGGGTATTTTGTTTTGGTTTTGTGTTGTTTGTATTTTTGCAGATTATGGCCCGTAGAACTCAAAGAACCAACCCAC